AGTGTTAAGTGTGACCGTAAAAAGTGCTGGATGTTGTTGAACAGTGATTGAAATAACTAATTCATACTGAGTGTAATGTAAAGAAAGTATTAAATAGGCCATGAGATGACATAGAAATGAGGATGAATAAATTTAAATACAGGTAGGTCTATAGTATTATGAAGGTATTAAAAGGTAAAAGGTAAAGTTGTTCCTCTGCTCAACGAATTAAGCCCTACGCCATTAAGGCGTGTGGGGGAGTGGATGTATAGATCCAAATTTTCTTGACCTCGGCACTAGTTGGAGGTGAGTGGTCAGCTTCACGCCCCGGCCGCTTTACCCCCGGGGAAAGAGCCCCCGGTACCCATTGGATAGGAGGTTGGATGGACCCCAGAGCCGGTCTGGACGATTTGGAGAAGTTAAAATTCTTGACCCTACCGGGACTCGAACTCCGACCCTTCACAGTCGTCCAGCCCGTATAATAAAATTTGGCTTAACCGGGTTTTCGATTAACCGTGACTTCCATCCCCAACATTAGCCCGGATAATCGAGAGTTGACTGTATGTGTTATGTACTGAGATGACTACCAAGATAAAACAGTGCTTCGTTGGTTGTGAGGAGAAGCTGTGTATTCACAACTCCATCATTCACATTTTGCAGCAACCAGTTACCGAAACATATCATTCAGCACAAAACAGGTGACAACTACACCTACTCTGTCATTAATGAGATTTGGAATCTCTTAGATGTGCAGTCTTTCAGCTCACACCTGTTACTAGATGAAGAAAATACATATATATGAATTCTTCACAACACATGCCACATGCTTTGACTGTGAGAAATAAAAAATATGAGATATAGGTAAAGCTATCCCCGTAACAGGCCGTGGAGGCCCATAGGGTTATGAGATGTCAAGGCTTCCACATTTTGCAGGCAGTGGGCTCACAGGCGACAAAGAGGTTGACTATAATCCATCATAGATGAATATATGAAAGGTGTCAAAACTCTGTTTCACTTATTTTAGGAGATACTCTCATTAAAATCTTTGAAAAATTGTGGAAATTTGCCAGATCAATTATCAGAAATACAGTTTTTACCATGGGTCTACTTGCCATGCAGAGCTGAACCTGACCACTAGCATTGGCCTTTAAAGTGGTTAATGATAGAAGTGGAGTGTCATAATAAAATGTTTCAAGGTTATTAAATTTAAAATTTAACCATGACTTTTTCGGTGAATGTTAGTACCTGCCTGACATGGCCTGAAATTTGGAAGGCAGAACTCTAAAATAATTTCAAAGAATAAATGCTGTATTTTGTATATATATTGTCACGTGTTGGGTGTATAACGCGACAAATAAGTTCACGCCGTTTCACGTGTTTCGTGTGTCACGCTACAGATAGATTCACGTAGGCTTCAATTAAGTAGGACCTTTATTGTTCTTCCCCTTACACAGTCACAAGTACAATTACTGTTCACTGTAACCCCTCAACTGTTTTCTGCGGCGGATGTTCCACGACACTTTACTTCGAAGGCTGGATCAAGGCTAACTTCTCCGAAGGCTTGATGACGGCTGGCTTCTTAGCTGGCTCTATGAAGACTTTCTTCTCCGAAGGCTATTCTGCGACTGACTTCTCCGAAGACTATTCCGAGACTGAAGGCTTCTCGTCGAAGCTGGGCTATTTGTAACCTTGCCCGCTGTTAGGCAACGAACCCTTTGTTATAACAGTGGAAACGTCGCTTTGTTGGCTCCGCGTTTCCTACGCAATGACCCATTGTTATTGCATTGTCTCTGTGGGAACCTTCGCGTATTCTCGTAACCGTGGAGATTTGATGTTCTCGGTACAACGGCTCACTNACTTTTATTAAATAACTGATAGACTCGAATTGTTGATAGAATCAGAGTTTATTATGAATTTTGAGGGGGCTACATGTTTTGATCATTGATGACCATCATCGTGTGCTTGTAAACAGCACAATGTTTCCACATAGATCACATCATATACATGTGATGCTCCTTGGAAGTTCTAATAGGTGTTCTGCCAACAGAATGTAGTGCAGGTGTTCTTGATGTCTGGAGACATTTTAATTAGTTTTCCTTATAGACAGCAACATTGCAGGTGCAGAATGTAAGCTGACACAGGTCACAACTTGTTGCTTTCCAGAAACTGTAGGTTGTTGTATATTAGCGTGTGTATGTGGCAATGTGCGCTTTCCTGTTGTGAAACAACAGCATTTCAGTGGAGTTCCACTCAGTTCCGTTGTTGTGGAGTACGAGTTCTGAAATTCTAAACTGAATTTGTTTGAGGATTGCTTAAACAAGAAATATGTGCCTCACTTTGTAGTGCACAGTATTTTCTATCAAATAATGAGGGCTGGAAAAGAAATTTTCTCTTTTAATGCCTTTAGAGACACTTGAAGTTCCATCCCATGATCATCAACCAGACCATGTCACCACTGTGGACAGATGAACATTGCAGTGTGAACTGGGCATAGAAGTGTGCTCTTAAGCCTTTTAATGTTGTCTCTGCAATGGAGAGTTTGATTATTTTTAAGCTCTTCTGTGCTGAAGTTAAGTGTATAGTACATGAAACCAGTTGCGGATCACATGAAACCTGTTTTTCTAGTGTTTTTTAGTCACCCATTCACATATCGGGATGAGACTATGGGGGCATGTCAAGTATGTACAACATCACTTATGTACCTGGCATTTCATTTGCCAGTGATACCACACAGTCTTGGTAGACATCACCAAAATGCTTGGCATCTGTTTTACCTCTGCTTTTAGTTCAAGCGATTATGATTGTTTCTTTTAAGCTCTTGAACAAAGACACAGAAGCATTGCTGCTTAACTTTGCCTCTTGACCTACAGAACCGTATAATGAAGAATTTTATATAGATGAACTAATTGCAGTGCCACATCCCTGTCATAATGTGACCCCAGGTCTTGACAGTATCCAGTATCTCTCAGCTTCCACCCAGAGGCAGAAAGTTTCTGCTGTCTATATGCAACCATATATGGTCAGAGAACTCAGTTCCAGCTGCCTGGACAGTAGCAATGGTTGTCCTGGTACTGAAACCGAGTAGAGATTGCTCCCTTCTATGCAATTAGAGACCTGTATCTTACTAGTTATGTTTGCAAGAAAATAGAGTGTATTGTTCAGAGATGAGCGGTCTGCAGCCAATTTCCAGTTAGTGAGTTCAGAGTCTGAAGCAAGAGGTAGCCTGTGGTAATCAGATGTGGCCAGAAAAAGTCAAATTGCGAGACAGTCGCTGGCCAGTAATGACATGAACCGGGAAGCGAAGGAAACTGCGGTCTTGGAAGCTGTTACTGAGCAACAACTGGAGAAGACAGCAGACTGACGAGATTTAGTGGGTGCTATAGTGAATTGTAGAGTGTGTGAATTAGCAGTAGTGTTGTAATTAATTCAAGTTCCGGTTTGTAGTAGTTGGTAAATCTGATTACTAATCCAAATCCCATGCCTAGCCACTTAACACTTGACATTAATGAGCTTGCAACATGCTGTAAGAACAAGAACACCAGAGGCTGGTACAGAGAAATAACTAATTTGGTAAAAGATGAGAACGGTGATCTGCTTGAGGATTCCCACAACATTTTGAATAGGTGGAAGAATTATGAAAAAGTTAAACAGTTCCGTCCAGTGTGACTGGTTAAGTTTTTTTTCTTATTTAGTTATTCATGCCCTTACATGTTTCGGTCTTCAGAGACCATCTTCAGGACACCTTTACATCAATACAGTTAGAAGCCACTATTACAGTACATGTTCTAAAAGTTAAAATATATACATACAATATAAATAATATACGGTTGGGTGTAAAATCTAAAGTCTTTACAACTACAGCGGCTGTTCCAATACATTACAATATTTATAGTTAGTTTGATAAGATTCTATTGGAATTCATAAACCAGGCTGGTGGAAGAATTACTACTTTAAGCTATTGAATGTACATAGGGTTAGTGATGCTTAACGGAATTTCATCTACACAACTACGTTACGTAATGGTTTATTATATATTCTTCTACTAATTTCTACATATTTTGGCCATGGAGACCATCTTCATAGGGTAAAGTGGCTGGAGCGTGAAGCTGATTACTTACCCCCGAGTATGAGGTCAAGAAAACATGGATTTATACACCAACTCCTTCATATGTCTTCATGGCATAGTGCTTGATTAGTTAAGCACAGGGACAGTTTTTGTTATTTTCACCTCTGTGTCATTGGAAGAAGCACATATTTCTGATTAAGGGCACAGTGTTTTACAAACTTCTTGTTCTATCCTGTTTCTCAAGAAATGCATTTGAAGTTAAAAATAGTAATCTTATTTCATACTGTTAGGCATAATGTCCATTTTACAGCACAGAGGAGAATACACGCGATTTCTGTCATTATGAAATTGTTGTGTTTATTGTGGAATATGGTTATTATATGAAGTACAGGAAATAGTTCCCTCATTGTAAATATTACCCGTAGAGAATTTTGCAGTTTAGTTCAGGTTATTTAATTTCAGGTAGAGTACTGTTTATCTCATTCTGATATATTCAAAACAACAACCGATCGGCTGCTGAAATTCGGCATTTTGATTGAACTTGTTTAGGTATTTGAGTAACAATATTTACTTCATGTCATATATGATGTCACACCCAATCCTCTACTTACTGCTTTCTCCAATCAGTGGAATTGTGTTTAATCTTAATTGCAAGCTGGATCCCTTGAACAGATTTTTCCACCAAAATGTGTATGTCTGTGCAAGTCTTTGTTCGTCACCCTGTGCTCTTCATGTCATATTCATCATGAGGGTACTTGAAAATTATTGAGGCTGTCAGAGCAAGAGGGGACAGAGTTATGTTGTAAATTATTCAGAACAACATTTAATACTGTACAACCAGGGATCTGGAACTCTGGGAAAGTTTCTGAATGTTACGTTCATAACACTACATCACCATCTATACAAGCTGTATAAATAACATGCAGAATGCCCACTCCACGTCAAAGGAATGTAGCGCAACAAGATGGGACATCAGCAGATATTTTCTCAGATAAATATATTTCAGTGAATCGCTAGTGACTACAGTGAAAAATAACATTTAAGACGTTTAATTCTAATCTCAATTCCAATTCTATATTTTAATTAATAAGCAACATACATTCACATGCAGTATTAACATTCAGTGGAATAGTTTTGGCAAGATAGACTTGCACTTGATAATGCCTTTATACTGCCGAAACATGTCGTAATAGAGGAGGACAAGATAATAAGTTACAATTGAGACTGTAATATAGGTATACAAATTGAATTTCCTTTCTGCATTTAACTCCCATGCTTCTAAATGGAGATTCTGTCATTACTAGCAATTTAGTTACTTGGCATGTTCTTAGGTCCTATAGGTACTTGCAGTAACTTTTATCAAATCATCGGCAAACTTACATGACACCACATTGCATGATGTGCCAGATGATAATGGATTCTAAAGGGTTCAGAATTGTTGGGTTTTTGGACTTGCCCACCATCAGATATTGAAAACATAGAAAACGACATGTTGGAAACTGGATCTATGTCTGTCCTCAGGTGAGGGGTGGGACGCCTACTCTGTTGGGTCTGTTAGAAAGAGCTCAGGATCTGTGAGTGGAAATGACCATTATGCATAAGCTGGCTTCATGGTGGCTGTTCATTAACATATCTGAGTGATATTATAAGGAAATTGGAATTTACATAGGCTACAAGTGCTACATGTGTATAAACCGATCCCACACAAGTGGTGCATTGACTTATCACCTGAATAGCCAGATGATTTTCTGCCAGTTTTCAGGTGAACTTCTGTTAGTTTTGTAATGAGATTTTGAAGGGAACACAATTCCTGAAACTTCATAAGTGTTTACCCTATTGATAGCCTACTGAAGGTATTCTTCAAGTAATCGTGCTAATAATGTTTCCTTTCCTTTACCAGAATAATCTGAATGAACAACTCATACATGGTGACGAGTCACTTGCTCATCAGACCACACTGAAAGATCGTCAGAGGACACATAGTGGGGCGCATTCATATTCTTGTGATGTGTGTAACAAGTCATTCAGTAATAAGAAAGTCTTGAAAGTACATCAGTGCATCCCTAGCTCAGGGCTGCCACTTTCCTGTGAAGTGTGTGGAAAATCATTTAGGTTCAAGAGTATGCTGAGGAGACATCAACACGTTCATAGTGAAGAGAGGCCTTTCACTTGTGACGTATGTAATAAATCATTCAAACGGCAGGCAGATTTGCAGATACATCGGCATATACATAGTCGAGAACAGCCCTTTTCTTGTGAAGTGTGTAATAAAACATTTAGTAGAAACTGTATTTTGAAGCTTCATCAACGCATACACACTGGGGAGCGGCCACTTTCCTGTGATGTGTGCCATAAACCGTTTAGATGTCACAGTAGTCTCTGGGTGCATCGACGCGTGCATAGTGAAGAGAGGCCATTTTCTTGTGATGTATGTAATAAAACGTTCAAATGGCAGAGAGATGTGGAGATTCATCAACGTATACATAGTGGGGAGAAGCCGTTCTGCTGTGAAGTATGTAATAGGTCATTTAAACTGAAAGCTCATCTGATGATACATCATATGCGCTTACATACTGGGGAGAGGCCGTTTTCATGTGATGTATGTAATAAATTATTCGCCACGAAGTTTGATTTGAAAACTCATAAACGCATCCACACAGGTGAGCGGCCATTTGCATGTGATATCTGTAAAAAGTTATTCAAAGCTCAGAATGAATGGAAGAGTCATTTGCGTGTACATAGCGAGGAGAGACCATTTTCATGTGGTTTGTGTAATAAATCATTCAAATGTCAAAGTGACCTAAAAAAACATCAAAAGGTACATAGATCGGTTTTCTTGTGATGTGTTCTGATGTACGGAAGTGCTAAAATAAATCAATAACTGAATGTCAGTGAGCTTAATAGAAGCTGATTAGCAGTGAGTGATAAATTTATTTGCAGTCCTCAGGAGAGAAGTGTATGTGTTGCTCTGTATTATATTCGAACTACCCTACAATAGCGAAGGAATCCAGTGGAAGTTGAGAGTGAAATGCCAAAAGAGACTGTCCTTGCAGCAATATTTGTTTTGCCTTTGTATCTCCTCGCCCATGCTTATGTCTGGCGAATTTGCTAGTGCACTGATGTGGCCGTGTCACTGTTTTTTTGTGAATACAGAATTAGACAACAGTTCCTGCAGTTCACAGTTCTGCATCACATGCGTAGATGACTGCCAATTAATGGCAGTGATGTGAATAAGAGGGCTGCAGGCTATAACTTTCCATTAACAAAATACAAAAACAAGTGATCATGAAATTGAGCTGCACCAGTAGACTGTGTGGTTTGCCTATTATCGCCGAAAATAGATTATGCATTATGTTCACATCTTTTCTAAGGAAGCTTCTGATGAAGTCCTGTGGTATGCACAATGCATGTATGGATGAAGGATAGAAATTATTCTGTTGAGGGAGAGTAGATTTTGGATCTGGAATACTCACAGAGGTGATTATGAAGGAGAACTCTACTTCTGGTTTCATTTTGGTTTGGTTCTCTCATTGTTCAGATATAAAGATAGGTGCAGTAGGCAAGACTGTTGGACCTGGGAACATTTTTGACATTTTATTTGTACAATGCAAAATTAATGGTTGTATGTAAGATGTAATTATATCATCGGAAGCAGCACATCTTTCTGCTTAAGACACAATGTTTTACATTGTTTTAACTTATCCCTCTTCTTAAGAATTGTATTTGAAATGGAAAAGAAAAAATATTATCTCAAGATGTAAGGTTGTGTGTACACATGGTGCACTGTGCTTGGTGCATTGCATATAGTGTAGTGCTAAGTAGAGTGCCATGCAGAATGCTTTCCTTGTAAGATGGACATTGAAGGCATTATTCCACAGTGCCCTGAGCTTATTAAATTTGAAACAGATATTTCAAATGGTATTCATGTTGTTAAAGCAATGTGTAGTCTTTATAACTTCGTTCTCCAACAAGAATGTCATGACCTCATGTGAAAATGTAATTGCACAATCTTTCAATAAAAATATTGGACAGTCACAGTGCTGCTTTTCAGAAAGAGCTGAAAGAGGGAGACATTTGTGCAGTTTTTCTGTGGTAGTGGTTGTGTTTCATGTCAAAACTATCCGTTCTGAGGACAGCAGTTAGTTTTCTTAAGTAATTAAGATTCAGCAAATAAATGGTATTTGCATTATCATTAATAATCATTAATAATAGTATGTAAACAAACGGAATGTAACATTCACTATATAGACTCAGCTTTCCAGGCTCCTTCTGCTATTTCCAGTCACAACTTGGGAAAAAATTTATATTTCTATGTGAAGGTTTATTTGGATTCAAAAATCCCTCCTCCTTAAACACCGAACCAATAATTTGCTGCTCTATTTAAAGTAAAACAAGCAAGACAAACCCAACACTACTTGTTAACAGGTGCTTAGCAAGGCTTAGTGCTAGGTGTGTCGCATGGTATGATCAGAAACAACAGTTTGGTCAATGATGTCACCAAGTCCAGCACTACGCTACAATCCAACTGAAGTGCGCTTGGTGTGTACATAGCCCAATACATTCAGGTACTTTGGGACGTTAACCTTTAATACTCTTGTTACAGTATGAAAGGAAATAGATTAAGCTATTTATCATGAATCTCCATGTCTGTTGTTAAATATAGTTATTATACAAATCATAAGAAATATGTAAATATTATGTGTTGAGGAATTTTCACTTTAGTGCAGGCTTTCAGTGTTCAAGATGATTTCTGAGCAGCTGCCCAAGTTGAACTTTTTGATTGAACTTGTTTAGGTTGTTTATTGAAAATACCTGTTTCATTCAAATATCATGTTAGATTCAGTCATGAATTTACTTCTATATCCAGTTTGTTTGTAGACTTTCATTTAGACATAGTTGCGAGGAGGATCTCTTGAACAGAATTTTCTGCCAAATATTCGGTCATCTATCTTTGTGAACTAAACAGGTACAGCGCGTCTGCACGATCAGTGTTTGGCTTGGTGACGGATGTTCACGGCCGACGATCATGTGGTTCATTCTCCACGCTCTCTCTGCCCTCTCTGAAGCACTTACACCACTCAAACGCACAGGTCCATGAGAGACACTCTTCCCCATACTGTTGTTGAAGTCTGTGGTGAATTTCAGTGGACGGAACGTTTTCTCCAACGAGGAATTTGATCACACTGCATTCCACGGTCCGCGGTACCTTCTGTTCCCTCATCACTCTAGCAACTCCCAGACAGGACTGAACAGGAGGGAGGGTGGAGGTTGTGGCTTCACTCTCTCAAGGTAGCACAGCTGCTGTGCAATGCGGCTTCTTTACACACAAATCAGTCCCGGTCATATTTGAACCACCTTGTATATAATAAATCATTCACTAAGAAGTTTATCCTGAGGAATCATCAACTTATCCACACAAGCATGCAGCCATTTGCTTGTGACATCATCCAATGACCAGAGTGATTTGATGAATCATCAACCAGTACATATTTAGGACTGGCTACTTTCTTGGGTATGTGTAATAAAGAATTCAAGTGCCAGAGTAGCTGAAAATAACATCAACAGGTACATGGATTGCAGCAACAGTGTTCTGAAATACTGAACTCCTAAAATAAATCAATAATTAAATATCATGTTGGAAGCTGATGACAAGTGAGTGATAAATATATTTATAGCCCACGAGAACAGAAATGTTTGTGTTGCTATATTTTGCATTAGAAGTGATCTTACTATATCAGAGAAAGCTAACGTATGATGAGAGCAAAATGGCGAAGAGAGAACATGGGAAAATGAACATTGGTGCCATCTGGTTTTTTGCTGCAATAATTGCCACCGTGTGACCATATTCTGGCAATTGTGCACTGCAAATGTATGTGTGTTGTAGAACCTTTTAGATGGATTAGGTCCCAAAGATCTTATATCTTGAATATTACTGTTGAAATTGTCAATATCAGGGTTAATGTTATATGAAGCTTGTTGATGAAGATAAATTAATACTCTCTGTTTTCTTGATACAGTGTTTATGATTTTTTTCTTCTCAAAGAGTTTCATCTATCCTGTCTAGCAAAATTGTCTTTATTCTGCCATTTTTGTATTCTATTTCAGAGAATATAAGTGATGTTAACCAAAGGCTGCTTGAAAGATTAACTGAGCTGTCGGGGCAACATTTGGTTTGAGAGTTTAGATATGAATAATTTAGAATGTTTATTACACTACAAACAGGGGTCTTGAAACCCATTGAAGATTTTTGAATGCTGCATTCATTTTTGACCCATAGTCACTTCACCTCAACCTTTGCCCTTTCTTCAGGGAAGTGACAGTATTCCATTTTAACATTGGAGGAAGTGATTCTTCCCAGCATGGAAATGGACTCTCCAGTCAGTGTAGTTTCTGGGGCTAGACTAAGTTGCATTATATTAAATGTTTGAGCAACACCAGTGCATGTACCACAGCAACTGTAGTCGGTAGTGCATCCTCTTTCCAAATTCAGACCTCGTGTTTCAAATGAAGCCCAGTACTCTGCTTAATGGAATGGAGTTCTGTGTAGTAAAATCTGAAATGAGCTGGAGTGTCACAGTCACATAGGATGCATGAGGCAGTCTCAGTTTGAATAGGTGTCCTTTCAAGTGACAGTGTCCTGTAAGTGATTCTACACAATATGCTAACCTCCAGAGCCTGTGGTGGAGGCCAAGACACACACAGCGTTGTAGAGCCTATAAAGAAGAAGAGGAAGAAGATACTCTAAGTTTTAAACCTTGCTGTAGGACACCACACAGTTGTAGGATGGGTGATTATGGGTCTTGCCAAATCCAGTAAATATATCTGGATATATCTGGCCCCACATTTTATTGTCTATCTCTGCAGGGTGGAAGAGCACTGTAGGCCTTATTTGTTACTTTATCCAACCACTTATTCTAAGTCTACCCTTTGTCCAAATTGATGTCGAGATATTTTACTTCTGAAGATAACTCTTTTACAGATAGGAGTTGTTTTGTTGTGTTCCCTTGTGTCCTTCTCCCTGGTAAAAGATATTACTTGCATTTCATTAGAATTGATGGACAAATGTGTTCTATGAAATCACAGTTGGATGGTTCCCAAGGCCTGTGTATGGCACCGGTGACTCATTCTGATGGAATATGCCATCTGTAGGACTGCAATATTGCCTATTTGTCATACTTTGTACTAGTCACCCCTATTGAGTTCCCAGAGAAATTATTCCTCAACCAGACTCAGCAGGTTTGGAAACCACATAGTTCCCTGTGGAAAACTCTATTTATGGTCCCTTTTAGGGTTTTTGCTGACAGTGTGTTTATTACTTTACTGGTTTCTAGCATACAGCAAACAGTTCCACTTGTATACTGTGGCCTGAACACCATGCATTTCATCTGTTGTTTCTTCTGTTTGGTTTATCAGGTCCCTCTGAATGATGGAATAGTAACTAAGACAAAGCATTATAGAGAAAAATTCTTGAAGTTTCAGGAACTGAGTATATAGCAAGATCTTGGAAGCCAGTGACAGTGAATGATTTTAATATTATAGCATATAGATCCATTGCTAGGCAACAAAACAACAGCCATTGCTATGAAACCGTGTGATGAACATGCCTCTACAACAATTCCCCACAACCATGTAGACCTGCCTCTGCTTGTTTCAGTAGATGCCACAGGGGTTTGCATACTGATTGGAAATAGTGAAGTGCTACTTGCAGCAGTCTGTAAGTCCCCAGGCCACACCTGGAATGATGCAGACATCACTGAGCTCTTAAGCTTTAGAACTAAGTCGATTTTGGCAGGAGATCTGAATGCTAAACATCCATTTTAGAATAGTATCGTTTCCAAACTTTCAGGCGTGAAACTGTTGAATTTACTGCATATAAATGAGTTTGAAATTTCAGCATCACAATGTCCCGCTTATTACTCTCCTATTGGAAATGGTGACATGCTCGATTCGATATTGTTGTGCACAAAAATGTCTGGCTGTCAGAAGTCATTGTCTATGACATTCTGGACTCAGATCACCTACCAGTTGTTTTCCACTTGCTGGATCATATTAGAACTAGGAATCTTTTGGACCTGGTTGACAAATTCACAGTTTGAAAGAGGTTTCAAAGCTTGGCCTCTGACTTAATTTTACCTAGAATCCAAATTAACTTGGAGGAAGAAGCTGATAAAGTGGCCTGTTACTTTACTGCCTCTATAGCTTCGGCATACAGGCTATCGGCAAGCAAAATTACATTCTCACATACCTGATCTGGAAAGTTTGCTAAAACACAAGCGGCGGTTAAGGAAATTGTGGCAAGTCACATGGGATCCAGCATGTAAAACGGCACTCAGTTGGGTCACCAAAACCATCAGACGAATGAACCATAGAAAGGCATTGGTGGGAAGCAAAAGTAGGGTACTGTGAGGTCACACCTCATGCTCTTTGGCCTATTGCGAAATCGTTTTTGAAAAGGGATGGACCAAAGGCACCAACTGCTGTTCAAGGGCATTTAGGAATAGCATATCACCCAGACATGAAAGTCAACATGATATTGGATTGTTTAGAAAATCAGTTCACATCTCATGACCTGTGTGACGAAAACCATGTGCGACAAGTGGAGACTACAGTCAAAGCTTTGCTTGCATCTGTAGATGGGACCCCGTTTGGGATAGTAAGACCTTGTGATGTATATAAATTAACAAATTCATTATAATTGTGAAAGGCTTTTGGACTTGATGATATTCCAAATGACTGCCTTAAGCATATTCCAAGAAGACCACTGGTACATCTGACACAATAATTGGGACACTGCCTTCGGCTGTCTTGGAAGGAAGCAAAATTTACAACACTACCGAAACCCAGTAAGGACCCAAAATTTCATCAAAATTTACATCCGATTAGCTGCTTGTCTACAACAGGCAAGCTATTCGAAAAAGTTATTCTGAAAATTGTCCGAAGGCAGGTTGAAGAAAAAGACCTGATTAATTCAAGCCAGTTTGGTTTCCATGCCCATCATAGCATGACACTTCAATGTATGAGGCTTACAGACAATGTAACCTTAAATTTCAACAAAAACATGTCTACAGCTGCTGTATTCTTGGATATTGAAAAAACTTTTGATACAATGTGGCTCATTGGCTTGCTATATAAATTATCTACATTACAATTTTTGATCAGGCAAATCAAGCTTATTAGCTCTTTCCTCTCTCAGAGAAAATTCAGAGTTGCAGTCGAAGGTGAAATGACTGTGCCAAGGGATATACAAGCAGGAGTGCCACAAGGTTCTGTCCTCTCCCCCACATTGTACAGTCTTTATATAAATGATATGTCCCAAACACCTGATGTCTATTTAGGTCTCTTTGCTTATAACACCTGTATATATGTGACAGACTGCAAAGAGGGTTATGTTCTCCAAAAGCTGCAACGAGGTCTCAGTGCTATTGAAATGTGGAGTGAGTGCTAGAACATAAAAATTAATGAAGATAAAACTCAGGCAATCTTTTCTCATAAACTTAGGCCCCCTGAGGCTTATCTTAAATTGAATGGGCAGAATATCCCCTTTCTCAATCATGTAAAATATCTGCGTGTAATCTTGATAAGAGGATTACATGGAGACTTCATATAGAAATGATTGAAGCCAAGGCCTTCAGAACATTTATTAGAATCTACTCCCTATTCAAAAGTGAGCGTTTAAGCGCAATATTAAACTAACCCTCTATAAGGCACTGATCAGATCAGTAATGACTTATGCTTGTCACACCTGGGAGTTAGAGGCAGACACCTACCTCTTAATATTGCAGTGCATGCAAAACAAGGTTTTGATAGGTTTGGTGATAGGGTGTTATTTGAACTAAACTTTGTAATTGATTTCTGGTAAATAGGTTGGTTATGTCAGTATTTCAAATGTATGAGGATCCTTGTGCCATTTCACAGCATAAAAATAGTGAGGTATGCTGTAAGTGTACAAACCTATTGGCCTGATATTTTTCGGCGAACTCAGTCTTTAATGATACTTCATGATATATTAAATCCCATTCTAAACTGACAGGTGAAGAAAGAGTATTTCTGGCAAAATAATTGTATACCAAATAATATTGACAAGTCTAAGTTGCAGTGAAGTCTATAAGAGCAGAATAATCAGTGAAGGACAGTGGCCCCTTAAGTCACCTGACTTAATTACTCCAATAACTGTCTGTGGGACAGCTTGAAAGGACATTTCATGTAGTAAACTGTTGCTACACTGTTGTGAGAAATGTGGTTTTGTCTGACCTGAATGCTCTGTATAAGTATATAATACAAAAATAAATGTCTTTAGTTGTCACTATTATTAATTGGAACCTAAACTTAAAATGCTTCCTATTTATAACTGTTGGTGGTGCAAAGCCATTAGCATCTGCTCAGTATTATGAAGCATATAAAAGTGGAATGGGAATGTAATTAACAACATTGATTAACAGCATGAATGGAAAGTTGTCATTACCTTCAGGAGTGGCCACATTACTACTTGTTCATAGATAGAAACCATAAGCTAGTGGACAGGCTCTCTCACAGGAATTCAAGCATCACCAGTGTAATGTTATATTTTAGCGTCCTGTTGCACTGATTTAAGTCCATGATTTATTTAATCCGTCTTGCAGTGCATACACTCATTTTTCTCCTTCTCTCCCTCGCACTACATGTTTCGGCATAATAATGCCATCTTCAGGTGCTTACTTATCCACGTCAAACCAGTTCATTGCATGCCATGTTCACACATTAAAATAACTAAAATATGTATCTATCATATACATTGTCCAACGTTAAAAATATTAAAATTGTTCAGGATACCACATCGCTACGTCGCCCCTCACTACGTCAGTCACGCCCATTCTCCTTTGTTGGAGCACTCCTTCACTATCTTGTGTGTTGTGGTTTTGTTGTGTCGTGCTCCTGCGACTGCGTGTGTTATACTGTTTGGCTTCCTGGGTATGTGTGTGTGTTCTGTCTTCGTTTTGAGTGAGTTATTATATGTTGTTGAGGTGTCATGAGACTTATGAATTAGGTACAGGTTTGTAGGATTTCAGGTTGCCACAGCAGTTGTTATGAAGAGTACTGTCATCTGGGTGACTTTTGATGGGCCACACAATGTTATCCTATGAGATACTACTCTTCAGGCACAGGATCTTTTATGTAAATGAGATGGGCAGAACATGTAGCACTCGTGGAGGGGGGAGAAGAAGAATGCATATAAGACTTCGGTGGGAAAGCCAAAAGGGAAGAGACCACTAGGAAGAGCAAGATGTAAGTGGGAGGATAATGTCCATGGTTTATGCTGACCGTCTTACAGTGTATAGTACACTTTTTCACCTTATTCTTCACTTCCGCACTACATGTTTCAGGACTAATGTGCCATCCTCAGGTGTCTTTATGCACGTTAAACTACTGTACTGCATGCCATGATGTCTTCATTTTAAAATGACTAAAATCTGTATTCGTCATATAGGACGATGAATTGTAAATAATAAAACTTTTCAGGATTCTTCCTATGTCACACTCAAACACGCGATTTACGCCGATCCTCTTTTATGTGAGCATTCTTCCTACATATATTTGTGTATCGTGTTCTGTGTTGTGTTTTGCTCCTGTTACTGCATGCGTTGTACTGCTGAAAAGTTTTATTATTTAGAATTCATCATCCTATATGACGAATACAGATTTTAGTCATTTTAGAATGAAGACATCATGGCATGCAATACAATAGTTTAACGTGCATAAAGACACCTGAGGATGGCACATTAGTGCGGAAACATGTAGTGTGGAAGTGAAGAATAAGGTGAAAAAGTGTATACACTGTAAGACAGTCCGCATAAACCATGGACATGAATCAGTGTAACAGGACGCTAAAATGTAACATTATTAAGGGAGGATAATATTAAAATGGATCTTAGGTAGGATAGGGCTGGGAATGGACTGGATTGATCAGAATCAATTATTATGAAGGAAGAAGTGTTCAGCTGAAGATTGATTGTGAGTGATTTCATTTGATTGTGATTAAGAGAGATTGTACATGAAGGAGTTAATAAATCCAGTAATCCAATCAAGAACCCGTCAATATTAGTCATGGAGCCATAAACACACGACATTTTTGGTGTCAGCAGTGGGATATGGTTGATTGATCGATTGGATTGAAGACTGCAGTGGTTAGTCATATTGTCAGCCTATGAAAAATGGAGCAAATAATGATGAAACAGCCAAAATGGACGAGATCATAGACGACATGAGGGCATGGCGAAAAGAGACAGTGGTCTGCCAGGAAAGAACGAAGTGCAAGGAGGCAACTTCAGAGAACATGGAATGCAGAGCAGAGGATAGGGAGGTCCCCAAGGAATATGCCACAGTGAAACCTGTCGGAGGACTGAGGAAGCGACATAGGGGTCGGAATATAGCTGCAGAGCACCACAGTCAGCCAGAGGAAAGGACCTGGGGAAATTGTGGATCCCAGAAGAAATTGGACCTCAGCTGCTGAAGGATAACCTGCCGTGCAGGAATGGCACGTCACAAGGGACACAGCAAGGACAAGGTTGGATGAAGACAGACGCTCGGGAGGACACGTAGGGTGAATCCGGAAGGCAGCACTTGAATTAGGGACCAGGGCCCAAAGAAACAGCTGCATCTAAGAAGTGAGAGGACATCCAGCAGGATCTACAGGGAGAAGTCCAGGCTGGAGATCACAAAGCGAATGGCTGGATCGTCTGTCAGACTTTGAAAAGCAGGGACTGGGCATTGTGGAGTGGTCACCGCTTCCTAAATGGAGAAAATCGTACTCACAGCATTAGAATAAGAGGGGCTGGAAACGTGGGCGCACCGGCCACTCGGGTTAGTTTTCCCCCCACTGTCTGAAAAGAAAAGCATGGGATGTTAGTGATATGCCTGGACTGACTGGAATCTTCTGAGAGAGCACTCGGGATGAAGGGCCTAAAGGAGGGAACAGCAGGAGCGGTTCGAGAGAAGTCACCCCAGAAAAGACCGAGACATTACAAGCAGAGACCTCAGAAAGGAAGGAACCATGACATACAGATCTGTTGCTGAGGATCGGCTTGGTAAACACATTCTTGCGGAAGCGTACCGTGGAATGGTAGGACGTCTATTTCTAGGTAGCAGAGCGGTAAACATGCTTACGAATTGTTGAGAGATGGTGTTTTCTGTGGATTCTGCTCCGAGACTATATAAGGGCTATAGAAGAGAATCAAATGAATTGCAGAATCAGAACGAGAATGGAGCGAGCCCTCAGCAGTCAAGGAAGAAGGACTCGGCTGAAGATTGATTGTGAGCTGTTTCAGTTGATTGCGATTAAGAGAGCGTATCAGTTTTATTAATTAAATTTTTTGACACTACTATAGTACCTGTGCTACATCTTGCTATGGCTGCAATGTGCATGTTTTCTAATGTTTTTGGCTTTGTCTACTGTGGTGGCTAGTGCATATAGTGCGTGTTGGACCACATTCTTTTTTTAATTACGTTAACATGATGCCAACTTAGTTAAAAATAAAACTTTATGTATAGATGTGTGTCTTGTGTACCACAAAATATTGAATACAGAGTGACAGTTTACACAGATCATCATATATACCTGATGATGGTCCCATATAGCTGGAAAGAGTTGTAAATATCCATGAAAACATGGAATAAGTGGTGGTTTAAAGTGGCACTGGAGTAGGTTTCTCCGAGTAGTTTGGTTTCCCGTGCCACTTCTCATTCCAACAAATGCTCCATACTCTTCTACCATCTGGGTTGGTACAATAGCCCAAATAGTGGCTGACATACCAAGTGGACTCAGTCCCATCCCAACTCATCCCACAAAAAAAGTGGTGATCTGACGAACAAACTGTGAAAATGCTGCATTTACATGACTCTTATACATAAATACCAAATGCTCAACTAATGAAACAGGATGCTCAAATTCAGTGTTATTCAACAATAGTTTCTGGCTGTTGTATTGCAGGTCTGCAAAGGCAGCAAGATGTCCAGCATGTCACCATCTGATGAAGGCCCGGAAGGTGATGGTCTGGCACACTGTGCTGACTATGTGGACAGTCAGTCATCTGACATTGTCATGAAGAATGAGGTCTGTAGGAAGGAGGCACCAGTATATGAAGAGCGTTGTGACTCCACAGATTCAAGCGATGATTCAGCTAGCGTTGCACCATCTGCCTGTGTAAAGAAGCGTAAGGCCAAGGCGATAAAGCTGAAGGATGAGCGGCTAGATCTGCAGTGTGAGTGGCGGGACTGTGATTACCGCACTGGTAATCTTGACCACTTCGTGCGTCACGTCAGCCTCCACATACCACATCTAGAGGTGAAAATGACTGATGATCAGGAAGGTAGGGGTTCTGGTGTGTTCCCTATGATCCTTCCTGCTTCCAGCAATACATGGCATTGTAATTTGTCCAATTTATGCTTTGCTCATATCAACTTCTGTTCAATGTTAAAATATTTCAGAAGTATTTAGTGGTTTGAAAATGGTAGGAGAAAACATGTAAAATAACAGAATAAGCATTAACCCTTTGCTTTGCCATGAGCCAATTTGATTACATTAAAATTGCCACAACCAAACAGATGGGCTCAATGTTAAACACTTAATACAGCATTTCTTGTAGTAGATGGGATCAGGTGTTCTGTACTGGTGTTTATAGGAAAGAATAGACTTTTTTGGTATCTCAGCCTGTGGTCATTTGAAGGTTATCTCAGGAAGCTTTTTTCTCTACAGCATTTACCTTCAAGTGCTCTTTGCTTTCTAGCAGGGAGTTCTGTGGCAGGGCTTGGCACCTAGAGGGTTAGAGATTTGAGGGAATTAAGTATTCTTGACTTTATCAGAAGATCAGCTGAAGGAACATGAGGCTATTTCGAGTAACCTTTACCGTGTACACTATAAAGGTAAGGTAAAGCTATCCCTGTAATAGGCCAGGGGGGCCCATAGGGTTGTTGGAGGTAAAGGCTCCCACATTTTCTAGACAGCCAGATCACAAGTGACAGTAGGTTGTCAGCCTTACAGACCGGCTGCCCTTTACCCCCAGGAAGATTACTGGTACTCACTTCTGTTAGAGGCTGAGTCAACCCCGGGGCTGTATTGTGGCTGGAAGGGTTAGTTCAATTGGAAAATCCAATGACCTCATTGGGACTTGAACCCACAACCTTCCAGCTTGTAGCATCATGCCCCAACTACACTACTGTGCGCTCAAACATGCACACACTATTCTTTATAAAATGTCCTGCACCAGAGAGCTGAAGAGTTATTTTTTAAGTAGGTTAGGCATTCCACTTGTAGATGGCCTGTGTTATATATCTGAGAGCAAAGGAATACACATTTGTTATTTTCTGTAGTTATCAGGGGGAAACGTCATTAAATTATTAGAACAAGGGTCACGGAAAAACCAGGTCATTTGCTATTCTTTCAGATGGATGCAAGAATATCACATGTGAACACAGTTGAACGTTCAGTAGCAAAAAGAGGTGACAGTATACATGAAGACAAAAAAAGTAACCTAAAAATAATTTGGTTCCTTTGAGAACAGTAATAGAATAAACAAATAAACAATTTTGTAAGTGGACTGGTTTGAGCTGGTTTATTATGTGAATTTTAATGTTACATTGACAAGCCATCAAATTCTATAATGTTGAGAGTTGGAGCAGGGTCAGTTCTTGTTGCTGTGGAAGTCCTGTTCTGTTCAAAATTAATTTGTTTCATGTAGCCACAGCTTGTTTCCCTAACATTTATATTATTTTAGTATATCTGTCTCTGCCCTGATAACCCAAGTAGCCTTTTTTTATGAAGTTTTTCAGCCAAAGTTTTGCATGCAGTTTTCCACCCTGTATTCTTTGTGCAGCAAGGCTCTCAGCCAATTTAAGAGAATCATTGTAAAGCTCTTTCATTTGCAGTTTTCATAATTCGTTTGATTCCTCTCCCTTGGGCCCAGACACTCGTACTTTCCTAAACTCTTTGTTTTCGAATAACTTTGATTCTTCTCTGCGAGTAGGGAATTAGAATTTGTGATTTCTGCCTGGAGCTTCTTGTATTTGCTATTGTTACCCTGCTTTTTGAGCATAATGACCTTTGTTACCCAATATTTATTTTTTCATATTTATCTATGATGAGTTTTGCTAGAAATAGCTGATGCTTGTTTTTGTAAAGAGGGCAAATGGATAGAAGCTTGGAAGAAAAGGATGGTAAATGCTTGTTATGTGTTTCCTATATTAAGAACAAAAGTCCCGAGAAGAGTAAATGGGAACGTGAGTAAACCTGAAACTGCAGACATTTCACAGCTTTCAGTTTGTATACAGGCATTGTTATGCATTGTTTAGGTAAGGTATGTATTCCCATTTCTTCATATACCTCCGGTTTATGCCAAGATGAGAAAGCCTGTTTTAGATATTGCTTTTGCTCTCGTGTGTAGCGTCCCTTGATGGTCTGTAATATTCCACTGTACCAGTGCAGTTGTCATAAGATGAGCAGTCAGTTCTGAATATCAGACATGCTGCATATAAGGCACAGTTCATTGTTAATAACCATAATAAATTAATTTATATGCTTTGAGGTACTGGAGACATAATTTGCATGTTGCAGGTGTATATGTCTGCCTGTGGGAGCAGTGTGGTTTCGAATCTGCAGACTCCAATGAGATAACAAGACACGTCAATTTCCATTCATACCATACCAAAGTAAAATGCATTGGGTCAAACATTTTGGCTCGTTCAAAACTACCGGTGAGTGATGAGCATTCAGCAGATATGTGCTTTACACATTTGTTAAAGTCATCTTGTGGTAATGCTTAATACCTGCTCAGCCTCTTATAAACAAAATGTGGCACTGAGCATGTGTTGAGAGAGTGCTTATTTATTTCAATTATTATGTTTTGGTACATTGTTTGTTCTCTTGTTTTTATTTAAAGCACGCAACTTTTCGGAGACTGCATTCTGTCTCCTGGGATTAAGGACTAGCTCTGACGATTGGGCCCAGCTGAGTAGGTTTCCCCTGAAGATGGAGACTGAGTCCAGTCTCTGAAATGTTGTGTGTTTTAAATAACAGGATGATGGCTAATGTCCAGAAATGCAGTAAATATATTAATATACCATCATCACTAACTCGTGGAGCTTATATATTTGTCCAAATCAAATGCTTTTAGTTATGGATTTATTTTTCTTGCTATCCCCTGCATCCTTGAGGCACATTTTGCTTTTTATTCATGACAGACCTGCATTTAATAAAAGCCATGGAGTGCAAGGTTGGGCGTGAAGTTGCACAACTCCCAGAATTGGGAGACAGTAGAGTAATGGTCATGAGTTCCATGGGACCTGGAACCAGGAATGACTGTGTTGATGAGGATAGCAGCAGTTTCTCTGATCGATCAGAGTTTGGATTTGATTAGTGCACAGAACAGCTCACATCCACAGCTGACAGGAGAACTGAAGTGTGGAGCTTATGAATTATCATGATATCAACAGAGAAAGTGATCTTGTGTTCCAGGTTTGTACACTCCATTGTGCTGGGAAGAATGTGATACCAGATCTGCCACATGCTTTTGAATGCTGCTGGCAGACCTGTGAGCAGACATTCAACAACTCGCAGATTTACTTCAACCATGTTGAGGCGCATGTCTATTGCAACCCGCGTGGTAGAGTAGTGGAAGGAGGAATTCCTTGCCATTGGAGTGGTGAGTTCTATTTCCCATATCATGAATTCTCACCATAACTTATATTAGTTCAGCGCCATCGTTCTGCATGCATGGCTGTTGCTCTAGCTGGCAGGATTACCATTTATCCTCTTTGCATGCCGCAGCAGATTTCAAAAGCTTATCGTACATTAGCAGGGTTCCGCATGAAATGGTCCAGTATTTGATCTACTAATGAAATCTTTATTTTAATTACATTACTGGAAACTAACATATAAAACAAAAGACCATTGTATGGAGATTTATCCTCTGTGAATCAAGTGTTTAGTATGACCAACATTACATCTTTCAGCTTCTTCAACATGAACTGTGATTTGTTGATTACTTGATGGCACATATCCTCAGCTATCTTGTTATAGGCCTCAATGATTGTTGCTCTCAAGTCCATTATTGTTTGTGGCATTTTTGGAAAACTGAACAGAGCTGTGCAAATTGAGGAAATGGCAATGCAGTTGCACTGCCACTTGTGTAAGACTGAGAAACTCAACTCGCAGGCATCTGATCAAGGCAGTCTTCTCACAGTTGCTTTGCAGCATAGTTTCGTGGTTTCAGCTGTTCTAACGTGCTTCTGTGATTCATTTGTTTCTTTTGGTGGTATGAAAGGTTAATGAAGCTGCTAATTTTGTTTTTGTGCGGTTAATTGAGTAGGAGCCTGGTATATAAGACAGATGCCATGCAGACTGTGCTAGGTAGGACAAAATAGATTTGGCTTTGGAAAGAAAGAAGAATGAGTCTGGATCCAGGTATAGCTCTTTCAAAATGATATAAGCTTCTGGGTTTAAATTGTCATGGAAGAACAGCTGCACCCAGTGTTTTCTTTTTATAATATTATATTTGAGCATCCTGTTGCATTAGTATGCCCTTTATTTCACATATATATTTCTCTCTTAAATGCAACTTATTATCTGGTCACCCTTATTCTACATACATGTTTTAGAGAATCATATGTACAGAATAATATTTACAAATTAACGTCACTTTCACATGTGAAAGAGTTTAGTAAAATTGGTATGTACCTGATGATGGCCATGTACAGGTGAAACATATCATGAAGATATATACACTGACACAAGAATAAATGTTGCATATGATACAGTAATTGCATATGTGCGTAGGATGCCAGAGTACGACATTCCTTCAGATATTTCTGTTTAGAATATGTAATCACTCTTTCATCTCATTTGATATTAAATGACTTCTCCATTTCATCAGACATCATTAAGTAACAACCACACAACTAAACTACACTGTCATATAAAGGTAAGTGTAAAGATGTCCCAGTGCTTAACTAATTAAGCAATGTGTCATGAATGTGTATGAGGGAGTGGATGTATAGATCATATTTTCTTGACCTCAGCACTACTTGCAGGTGAGTGGCCATCTTCATGCCCCGGCCGCTTTACCCCTGGTACATGTAGATGGGCCCCAGAACTGGTCTGGACGATGTGGGGAACATAAAATTCTTGACCCTACCTGGACTTGAGCTCCAACCCCTTGGTGATCCACCCTATAGGCAGTTACTATATTGACTACACTATCCTGGCTTCCATGGTGTCATATTCACAAGGAGATTGAGATTTCACACAACAGGTGTACAAAGAGATTAATGTTGATACTGAAGTGTAAACTTCTACATGTTGCAGGGTGCATGTCCAACTCTGTGTATCCATCGATATGGAAACTGGCAGAACATGTTAGAACCCATACGCAGGAGAAACTTGTGGGATGTCCAACATGTGGCGGGCTCTTCGCAAGCAGAGCAAGGTTTTCTTACCACTGTATGCATCAGGTTCCCTCAGAATGTAAGTGATAAACATTTATGCACACACACACACACACGCGCGCGCGCCCGCGATAATGAGAGTTGAAATTTAAGATATTGTTTTAGATCAGATGTATATTTGTTTAAGTTTGGAACTGTGTGTTGTGTTCCACCATATGCAACATTACTGAGTGTATGATGGTGTGATTTGTTGCAGTGCGAGGGTACCAGTTTAGATCTAAAAAAGCGGTGAATAACCACCTCAAATGTCCATTCTGTGACAAGACTTGCTCCTGTCCATCAAACCTTAGTGTGCACATTCGGTATAGACACTTGGATAGCAAGCCATTCAAGTGCAGCTCTTGTGAATATAGGTGAGTAGAAGCCTCCTGACCCTCACACTGACTGACTGAGCTACTTGGCACAGATGGTAATACGTAGGTAGGCTGAAAAGTAATGCACACATGCTTGTAGAGCGCGAACGAAATGACCTTGAGAAGCACGCCAGGTGGCACGTGGAAGTAACATTCCCCCCTCAATACGCATGCGCAGGTTTGAGGTCGTTGCGTTCATCCAGTGTATTTCGAGAAGCGGAAGTATGGAGACGTGTTCTAGTGCTATGTCAATGCGAGTTAAACAGCATGCTGTTATCGAATTTTTAACTGCTGAAATGTGACTCCTACTGAGAATTATCGTCGTTTAAAGGCTGTTTATGGTGACGATGCTGTTGATAGGTCTACTGTAAATTGATGGGTAATAAAATTTCATGGTTGCGAGCCTGGAAAAGCCATAATTGTTGATGAAACATGCAGCGGACGTCCAATCACTGCCACAGACGATAATCATCGCAAACTCGTCGACGATTTGATTCAAAATGACCGGCGAATCACTCAAAAGCATATCGCAAACCATATTGAAATATCCAAGGAACGTGTCTGCTTCATTATTGAATAATTGGGATACCGTAAAATCTGTGCACGATCGGTACCACGCCGTCTCACAGATGAGAACAAACAGCGTCGATTGGAATGCTGCGAGCAACTTTTGCCGCACTACCGTGACGAAGGAGATGACTTTCTTTTGAATATTGTGACAGGGGACGAGTCATGGGTCCATCGTTACGACCCGGAAGAGAAAAGACAGAGCGCTGAATATTGACATCCGTCTTCTCCTTAGGAGAAAAAGTTCAAATCACAGCCATCCGCAAAAAAACTTATTTTGACTGTGTTTTGGGATGCTCACCGAGTTTATGTGACCGATTTTCTGAAACGAGGGGCAACGGTAAATTCTTCTCAGTACATACAGACTCTAAAACACCTCCGGCGTCGAGTTTGTCGTGTTGGAGGCAGCCTGGCGCCAATAATCTTGCAACATGACAACGCTCGTCCACACACCTCGCACGCAACTGAAGAGGCTCTGTGAAACCTGAAGTTTGAACCGATTCCACACCCTCCTTATTCCCCCGATCTTGCGCCTTGCGATTTTTATTTTTTTCCTCTACTCAAGAACAACCTCAAGGGTAATCATTACACCTTGGACGATGAGGTGAAGGCAGCTGTCAAGTCCTGGATTCGAGAAAAGTCGGAAGAATTTTTCAGTGACGGAATAAAAAAACTTGTTACACGCTGGGAGAAATGTGTTAGCCTTAACGGTGACTATGTTGAAAAATAAATATATGCTTTTGAAACTTAAGAATTGTACTTTAATGTACTTTTTGCCCGATCTTGCTATTTGTTTTTGTTCGCGCTCTACAAGCATGTGTGCATTACTTTTCAGCCTACCCACATACTTCTGAATCTTATTCAAGAGGTGCTTGCCTCTAATCTGAGCAGGAACACCAGCTGTTCTGGTAAACTTTTTTCATGGTTCTTCCAGGCCCTCGAGGCAAATGCTGTGATGGTACCTCAAATTAGGCCATCACAAGCTCCTTGCAGATTCTTTCCACTTGGCAGCACACACACACACACACTGACATATTTACAAAGCATTATTAAATAAACTATAAGCAAATAATTCAACTGTGCAAACTCCATCTGACTAATATTGCTTGAACCTCTTCTGGCAAATTAGCTATCCTAGTTGTGGTCTGAGCTTTTCCAGGTGAATCATGAGAGAATGTCAGGTAGTCAGTAACCATTTTCACTTCACCATTTATGGTCGCCTGCTCATCTCATTTGATAAAACAGGGATTATTATTACTTTGTGGACCGGGTCCATGGCCCTGCACTTTACGACTGCTGGTGCACTGCTTGCTGCAAGGCACGTGTAAATTTTTCTGATGAATCAGCATGCCTGATAGTCGATTACATTATGAATGAAGGGAAGTTCTTACCTAAATCACAGATGACAGGGTGTTATGAAAATGCTGTCCCTCTACATGTAGACATTTCTCGCATCGATGGAAGAGGTTCTGATTTACCCTTTGAAGCTGTTCTGCAAGAATATTTGCAATTTCCCTATGAATATTTTCTTTTAGTTCTTCCATTTGAAGATAAATTTGTCCCTGTGCTTAACTAATTAAGCATTAGGCCATTAAGGTGTTTGGGGTAGTGGATGTATAGATCAAGGATTACTATTATAAACTTTGTCATTCAAACAACCCTAGAAAAAACAGTCACAAGGATTAAGTTGAGCTGAACGTGCTGGTGAAATACAACTGCTGATAATTCTGTCCCCAAAGACATCAGAAAAAGCCTGCATTGACATGTGTGAAATGTGGGCAGTCACTGAGTCTTACTGAGACCAGCCATGGAGTCTTTCTTCATCTGTTAACTCTGATAAGAACTGCCCAAGAATGACTTGTACATATCTTTGACAATTAATTGTTTCATTAAACACAGGTCCAACAATCCTTCTTGCAATTAAAGCGCACCAGACACCAAATTTCACTGGATGGAGCAGAACACTGTTGGTTGGATGCGAATTCTATGAAATTCAGTAGTAATTATTTTGCGTCATACAGAAACACATGTTGCTCTAAGAAAGTATACCGAACCATGATGCACCGCACTGCTCATTAACTGAAACTGAGAACAAATGGCTAAAGGAACTGACAACTGCTGCCTACTGCTGAGAAATCATAAACTCCCACACATGAACCACACTGCTCACCATGTAACATAATGCCATCAAGCATGGTTTTTCATAGGAAAAGTTTGTGTGCACCTTGCAGCAAGCAGCAGATCAACCAATGTAGAGGCGCAAATCCATGGACCCAGCCCACAAAGTAAAAATATTGAAATACTATTAAATAACCAAAAATCACTCATGACAGACTCTTAATAAATTAGCCTGTCACTTGGAAAAAGACATTCTGTTTTGTACTCTTGTGTGAGAATGAGGAGCATGCAAGTAGCACCTTAGCTTTGTCTGGTAACTAATTGACATTCTCAGTGAAGCAAACTGTGTGCATTATCCTGCTGCCAGTCATTTCTGCCCACATATTGACTCTACTGAAGCGTGATGTTCCTGCTTAAAGTGTCCCTTTAAGTTAATTTAATAGTGAGAAATACTTCATGTAATTTGATTCAAGATTTTCTCCGTAGCAGACATTTGATTTACTGAATACTTAATGAGGTGCTTGTAAAAGTTAATTGAAGTCAAACAGCACTCCTGGTTGTCAGAAGTGATCAGAAAATGAAGGTTAACAGTGTAATCTTTTTGATGTGTATTTTGCTTCAGAGCCAAGACACACCATGATCTGAAGGTGCACTGGAATACACACCGCTCTGACCCACTTTACCACTGTAAGGAGAAGGGGTGTGATTTCTCGTGTCGCAGCGCCTATGGGCTTCGCAGGCATTGTGACAGGGTATGTGAATTCATATGTGATTTCATTGTATGAAGAAACCTTTGGGGATGAACTCTCCACATGAAATGGAAAAGTATTTTCATAAAGACTTTTGTTTCAGTGTTGTTGATATTCTTAGGTTTTGTTGCACTGCTACTCAGCATCAATATTCTGATCAGTAGGCACACTTGTAGTTTGAGGACTCTGTTGTTCCAAAACTGAACAGTTCTGTTAAAACTGTCTCTCTCTGTCTGTCATGCCATATTTGTTTCGGTTTTGGAAGGAAGAGAACGGGCTTCAGTCACAGCTTTGTTTTGAGTCGCTTGTTCTGCAAGCTTGGCAACTGGTGCTTCACATCCTGATGGTATTCATATGCCTTCTGGTTGAATCTCCATGAAGTAGTCCAGTCACCCATGTCAACTTCAAATATCATCTGTAACAGGCTTCCAGTTTTGTGGTGAAATGCTGTTGGGGGAGAGATTTCTTGTTCCTCCCTCAGTGAATGACATCTTTATTATTCATGTGCATAAAGTACACCACTCATGGCAATGTGGGATATCAAATCATTGAACCAAGACCAATGAAGCAAACACTGTAGCAGGCTCATACTTAATGCTGCTGTTTGAACAGTGGCAAGTTGCTTGAACTGGCTGTGAAGCAGATCATATAGAGGTTAAATGAAGGAGGTTATAGTGGCTGGCCACCAAATAATTCACTGGTACTAGAATTCTGACTTCTGCTTGCTTGTGCGATTGCTGATTGGTATGATAATTCATTTCTCACTTGGGGAGTGTGCCCACTAGTGGATAAGTCCTGAATGTGCTAATTCTGTTCCCTCTGGGCACACTTCCTCCATGTTAGAATGATTAGTATCTCTGCAAGTATAAAAGTGTTTCCACTATCCTAATTTCAAGTAACCATTTACATAAGTATAACAGTTGAGAACATGAAACTGATTTTATTGGTTTCCTCACTTGTCAGCTGGCTTCTAAGTCCAGTGTAGATGATGCATACGTGGTCTGACAATAAAGTTCGCGAGCTCTTCGCAGTAAAAGTGCTACACACCTCATTGCTGAATATCACTGTGGTTGCCTAGAGTACTCACGTTTGGAAGCCATGCACTGATGTCAGTGCCTGTTCCACCATTAAAAACAGTTTTTTTACTGGTTTTGTGGGATGGCCTTCAGAGCTGCTGTTGTATTACTCCTGATGTCATCAGTGTCATCAAAATGCCTTCCTTTCAATATTTCCTTTATCCTCAGGAACAGAAAAAGGTCACTTGGGGGTAGATCTGAAGAATAGGGTGGGTGTTCCAGTGCCAGTTATTTGTTTACTATCTAAAAACTCCCTCACAGACAGTGTTGTGTGAGCAGGTTTTTTGGCAAAAAGTTCAGATTGTTTCCATCTGACTTTTTACAGATCCTTCTGGGTACTTCCAAATAGTAAATTTTGTTGACTGTTTGTCCAGTTGGTACAAACTCATAAGGAAGAATCCCTCTAATATCAAAACAATTAGCAACATTCTTTTGACTCTTGATTTGGGCTGACGGGTGTTTTTTGGTCGTGGAGAATTGGCATTCTTCCATTGTGAACTTTGCTGCTTCATTTCAGGGTCATGTTGGTGACTCATGCTTTATCACCTATGATGACATGGTCCAAAATGTCATCTTGCCCCTCGAAAAGGTTTTGGCAAATTTTGACTCTTCTTTGATTTTGTTCTTTGGTGAGCTCCTTTGGGACCATTTTTGCACACACCTTCCTCATGTCAAGATCTTCAGTTAAGATTTTCTTAATTGTTTCTCTGTCAATGTTTTCTTGCTCTGCTGTGCTCCTGACAGCTGACGATTTTCACGCACAGTTTGATGAACTTTTTCTGTGTTTTCTTCAGTTCTGCTCATTGCTGACCATCCTGATCTCTCTTCATCAGTGAAACTTTCTCTTCTCTTAGAAAAACGTGTCACCCACTTGTAATGTGCTGTTTTCTCCATAGCATTATGCGCATAAAATTGCACTAACATCTCTCTGATTTTGCTTCCACTCTTGCCAATTTTAACAAGAAATTTAATGTTTATTCATTGCTCTAATTCAAGCTCTGACATTCTTGTGACAGCACACCAAAACACACTCAGACAATAATAGATGCTACTCAGAAAGAGACTGTCCTAGATCAACAACACAACTCTGAAATGCTGATATGCCAGCATCATCAAACCATACTGAGGTTTCTGTTCACACCTGCCATGGCAAGCATGCGATGCTGAGTTCGCAAAATTTATTGTTAGACCTCTAATCTGAAATATTGTATTGGAACACAACGTTGTGTTTTCTTGAGATGTGTAGGAGAGTTTCCATTATTACAACAAAAGACACATGAGAGAAGAATAAAAATTGCAAATAACTCATTCTTAGCAATACAGTTGAAGAAACAGCCAACTATCAGAAGAGAGAACCCTAGAACTGTATACAAACAACTTATAAATTGAAGAAAATACATACAGATTGNTCCTAGATCAACAACACAACTCTGAAATGCTGATATGCCAGCATCATCAAACCATACTGAGGTTTCTGTTCACACCTGCCATGGCAAGCATGCGATGCTGAGTTCGCAAAATTTATTGTTAGACCTCTAATCTGAAATATTGTATTGGAACACAACGTTGTGTTTTCTTGAGATGTGTAGGAGAGTTTCCATTATTACAACAAAAGACACATGAGAGAAGAATAAAAATTGCAAATAACTCATTCTTAGCAATACAGTTGAAAAAACAGCCAACTATCAGAAGAGAGAACCCTAGGACTGTATACAAACAACTTATAAATTGAAGAAAATACATACAGATTGTTGGTATCAGACTTCTACAAACTAGCAAAGTGTTTTGCAGTACTAAGTGCACGTAGGAATAGCGGTAGTCCTCATCAGTATGTGTTCACTGTACTTTAAATAATTAATCATTGGTAAATTCTAAAATGTTTAAAAGTTCTAAAACCACTTAAAATTAAATGTTTCAACAAACAGAGACAATGCAACAAATCAGATACAGTCCATGTAATTGTTCACTAACTTGTTTTGAACATGTAGATTGATTAACTGAACTTGGCTAATGTATACCTAACAGCATCAGTGCTGACAGTAAAGGCAGAATGGCCTGTTGATGTCCACTGTACCAAGATATGTTCTGACAATAAAGAAGTTTTTATAATTAATTCATTTATATACAATATCTGTATTGACAGAACCTCTGCTATGCATGTACCATTGTGTTTTGTCATTGCTCTGAAAATTAATTTCAGCATGAAATTATTGTACATCATAATAACATGTTGCTTTATGCTGTTGATGTTTTAGTGCCATGCTGGATGTGATCAGCCACAGTACTGCTGCCACATATGTGACAGCCTGTTCCAACGTGGATCTCTGCTGACACGTCACCTCCGTAAGCGACACAGCATCTGCCGGCCATCAGGGCAGTGCAGATTTAGGTTGGTACAGCTCATGAGAAGTTACTTTTGTCTGTGTGAAAATAACATTGCACTACAACCTCACAAAAATACTAAGCTTGTGATGCAGCTGTGGGCAGTACATTCCCACAAGAATACAAATATTACAGGAAGAATTAAGCCCTTTGTGCCCTCTGTATAATAACAGTATTGATCTAACGGTGTGTGGTTGTGCAAAATTTATGCTATTGTAGATTTTCATTGGTTTAAATTTATCAGATATAACCCTAAGGCTTCACGGTGTTTCTGTGTTTATAATTTGTGTCCTGAAACCATTTTTATTTAAGCTGTGTGGATATGATTACAATCCATCACTACACCAAATTTCACATTCCTAGGTACAGTGGTTCAAAAGTTAATTGCCTAATGTAATGTTGTCCTTCTGTCTAATTAATTGTCACAACCTGGAGGCACGTTAAGTAGTGGAGATACAGTCCAGGCATTTGTGGTGCTGGATGGAAATTGTCGGTTTTTTGAAAATGTTGGTGTCTTCCAAGAAACAGTAAGGATAAAACTGATTACCCCTGATGTTCTATCTAAATTGAAACATATGCCACAAAGATAAGATTTGTCTGTTCCTGTGCTATGCACTTGTGAACTGTGATAACAGAGAAGAGGATGAGGGGCAGTACATCTGCACTGTTGGATCCAACTTATTTATCCCACCAAATTAACCAGGAGCAGCACCAAATTCAGTAATGATCTTGCATGTAATTTAAATCTGTCTCAGTAACAAGCCCAGCTTTTGGGATCAAGGTTACAGCAATGGAAATTCCTGCTAAGGGCATGACAGTTAGTGGATTTAGATAAATAAACCCAAAACTGTTGATATTTTATATTATTTAAGAGAGTTTTTATTAGTGCTTTTACACAGTAGATTGGGGGAAAATTGAGATTTCAACACCTCATGTCAACATAAAAGAGAGCTCTATTTGTGTATGAAGACCAGTAATGACCAAACCTAAAATCCTATTTTCAGACTTACTCGAAAATTCTGTCTAATGTCATTAGGGCAGCCAAAAATCTTTATTATAATAGATTAATTTCGAATTCTAGCAATAAAATTAAAACCACATGGAATATTATTAAAATGATTACTGGTAAGAGAATCAGTAATACTGAAGTGCAGTTCTTAAATGTTGAAGGGAAGCTAACTGATAGTCACCAATTAACTGCCAATTCTTTAAATAACTACTTTCTGACTATAGTAGATAGAATTAACAGCAATAATGCTAAGAGTGATCATTTTATAGAGTTTGATATTGATAAACATTGGAGTTATTTATCTCAGGCTTTTCCGACTCCCTTCCCTGAAATTAAACTTAAACCTACATCTGCTAAAGAAATTGAAAACATAATTAAGTCATTAAAACCACAAAATTCTAATGGGTATGATGAAATTTCGGTCTGTATTCTAAAAACTAGCGCACCTGCTATTATTTCTCTTTTAACTTAATCTGTAACGGAGTACTTTCAACGTGTGTTTTCCCCACTCATTTGAAATACTCTGAAATAATACCATTATTTAAAATTGATGGTAAAACGAATATGATGAATTATAGACCTATATCGTTACTTACATCCTTTTCAAAAGTTATTGAAAAGATTATATTTATAAGATTGCTCCATCACATAAAGGATAACAATATATTATCCAGTCACCAATATGGTTTCAGGTATGATTCATCCACAGAACTTGCTTCATATAATTTAATTAATGAAATATTAAAGGCTTTGAATAATAAAATACCATTTGGAAGCATTTTTTGTGACTTAAATAAAGCCTTTGATTGTGTTGATCATGATGTTCTATTATCTAAATTAAAGTTTTATGGAATAGTAGGAAAAGCTAATGCATTACTGGAATCCTACCTTCATGGTAGACATCAAAGCGTTGTAACTAATAAGACGTGCACTCACTCAGGTTGGGATAAGATTGTCAGTGGTGTTCCCCAGGGATCAATCTTAGGTCCCTTATTGTTTTTGTTATACATTAGTGATCTGCCAAATATTATACAGAGTAAATCAATACCTATTCTCTTTGCGGATGATACCAGTATTATTGTTAAGAACTTTAATCATATTGAGTATGAAAATAAACTAAATTTAATATTCAAAAATAAAAATGAATGGTTGAGTGCTAACTTACTGACAGTGAGTCTCGATAAAACGTATTTTATGCATTTCTCAACCAAGAATAGTAATACAATGGACATACCTGTCATTTATAGTAACAGTCAAATTGCTACAACCGCTGATATTAAGTTCCTCGGTCCGATGACTGAAAATACCCTATCATGGAAAGGACACATTGACTGGCTCATGTCCAAACTGGGTTCAGCTTTGTATGCAGTTAGGGCTATTAAACCCTATATGTCATTAGAATCAATGAGATCAGTATATTTTTCATATTTTCATTCTATTATGACATATGGCCTGATTTTCTGGGGTAATTCGCCCCTCTGCATACGTATCTTTAGACTACAGAAGAGGGTTATAAGAGTGATTGCCAATTCCAGAAGTAGAGATTCTTGTAGGGAGTTGTTTAAGAAACTAAAGATTCTGCCCTTTACTCACAGTACATTTTTTCCGTTTTGTTATTTGTGGTCAAAAACAAAGATCTATTTTGTCTAATTCTGAGATTCATACAGTCAACACAAGACATAGTAATAACCTCCATTATCCCTCGTGCAACATAAGTGTCTTTCAAAAGGGAACATATTATTTTGGAATTAAAATTTTTAATAAACTTCCACCTAATATAAAAGACTTAAGCTCATGAGATTAAAAAAATTAGGTCCGCTGTTAAAAGATTCCTATTTTTAAATTCATTTAATTCATTGGACGAATATTTTAACTGTGACAGCAATTAAAGTTTTGGATTGTTACGGGTGGTAGTTGATAGCGCTTTATTGTTATAGATGATGGNGAGTATGTGATTATGTTTACTCATGTTGACTATTTATATATCCATTGGTGTTTAACCATGTAAGGATTTATGGAATGCTGAATAAACGAATGAATGAACAGTTACTCATAGATTTTTTCAAAGTGAGGAACAAAGGTCTTCATTACACAGAGCCCATGCCCTTGGGAGAAAGGAAGCTTCTAGTACAAGGTGCAGTACCCGCCAATAAGTATGAAATATTGTTTGTAAGTCAGCAGTTACAAGCATGAAAATTGGTGTGAAATATAAGGCTGCATCCCACAGATTTAAGGTAGACAGAATCTGTACTTAATAAGTTCTTTACAGGAATAATAGTGATATATCTCCAGGGCCAGCAACATACACAATAGCAAAATGGGCTTTATGAGTTCTGCCCAGAACTGCTAGTTTATCAGCTGAACAGTTGGTTTCAGAGGAAGCCTCATTTGATAAAAACTTCCATCTGAAAGTATGATATTGGTTATGAGATCAAAACTCAAGTAGCATTCCTTCAGATAAAAGATCATTACAAGTGACATAAAACCATAACAATTTGAGACATATAAGTATATTTTTCCTTGGTGGGGAAATTCAAGGACCTAGTTCCTTGCAGTGTATCTGAAAATAATTCCGTGTTATATCTTGCTGGAACCTTGGAGGTAATGGAATTATTATGATAATCCAACTCAACTGTTGCAGGTACAAGCAGAACGGTGATGGCTTGTTCCGTCTTCTGACAACAGACACTGAAACTATGAAAGTGACCCAGAAGGTAATGGTGTTGGAAGTCCGCCAGCCATTTTGCATCAATGAAGATGACCCCCTGACACAAGAGGCAGGAGGAGAAATTTTGTCGTCTTGATAATAGAGCATGATGACAGTGGGGCTGTTGTGTCTGGAGAAGACATGAAGACTGCCAAGTTTTGCAGCTTGCCCCCAGGGAGTATTACTGTCATCTCAATAATAGAACATGATGGCAGTGGGACTGTTGTGTGCGGGGAAGATATTACTGTCATCTCAATAAAAGAACATGATGGCGGTGGGACTGTTGTGTGCGGGGAAGATATGGAGACTATTGAGTTATGGGGCTTGCCCCCAGGGAGTATTACTGTCATCTCAATAATAGAACATGATGGCAGTGGGACTCTTGTGTCTAGAAGAAATATGGAGACTGAGTTACAGGGCTTGCTCCCAGGAAGTATTACCATCCTAGAAGTTTTAAGTTAGGTATAGTGTACTTGTCCTGAGTATCATATCAGTATGTCACCATTCCTTCTTTTCCGAGGTGTCTGCTTGTGACATCTCACCTTCCTGCAAGTTGCTTGGTCTTTTCTGCTGTGACTTCTGTTCAACTGCTCCCGCTTCCCCCTGGGTGAGGGGCTTTGCCAGCAGGTTTTAGACAGTCCAGGTGTATCACCATCATCCAAAGTTTTTCTTCTTTTTCCCACTGTTGGGACAAAGCTATCCCAAGTGGCCAGTGCTCCCACATTTCTAGCTCTTACACCTTGCATGGTATCTTTTTCTTTTCCAGAGGGGGCCATCTCCTCCACAGTGTCCAACCCAACAGAAGACCTGTCTGTTCACTTCACAAACTCCAGTCATAAGGTCTCCCTGAGGAACTTGTTGAATTCCCTCTTGTTTCATAGCTGCTGTCTAAGACCTCTGTTCGTCATCCCATTATTGTATTCTGTTTTCAGCTGACACCTACTGCCAGACATCCATCCTCTCAGAGTTCGTCATCTGGCCTTGTTTCTAGTCTGATTCTTCCTGATGACACATACCTTTCGCCATGCCATTCTTGCACAGTGGGTCATCCCTATGTGGGCAGCGGCTAATTTCTTCTGGGAACCACAGTTTCCCCTGGGCTGTTCCTGCAGCGCCCTGTGGCTAGCTTCCAGCCCCCATACCCCTTCTTCAATGCTCCCGAAGATTTCACTGTAGCTCCTTCCTTGGGGACCTCCCGATGCACTGCCTCAGACGGTATCTCTTCTGGATTTGTGTCCTTATTGTCCAGACATGCCTATGTCATTTCTTGGCAGGTCATCATCTCCCTTTTTCAACCAGTCCAATCTATAGCACTTCTGACACCATCGTCACATGTTTTAGTGACTATAAACAGGGTTTGGATTGGTAATTGGATTTATTGACTGCTTACAGGTCATAATTACAAATAACTATTACACTGTTGATGATTTCCACACTACAGATCACTCAACGCTAAGACTTCTCAGTCTATTTCCACTAGTCTTTACTTGGTAGCAGTTCTCAATAATTGCTATTCCTCTATAGTGTTCTCATTAAATGTTTCCTGGTAATGAATGTTAGCAATGCAGATTATTCTACCTCTGTTGTCCGCTGTTTAACACTCCACAGATGAACCCTTAACTGCACTGCACTGCACTCACTCATGTAACAGAACATGGTCAGTTGAATCATATAGCCTTGGAGCAGACCTACAGAAATCACTGCCGCATCACCTCTTATTATTGGTATGTGATGTCACCGTGCACACATAAGCTGTGGGCACGCCATAGCAGTGGCTGTTGTTAAAGAGTCGCCTCTTAGCAATGGATCTATATGCCACATAGGCTCCCTGCTTAATGCTCTTTGTCCCGAAGAGCCGACTGGCATACTGCCATTTTTTCTTCTCCAAGGGCTGTGTTTGGTCTCACCTTACTTTCTGTGGCTTGGTTTTCCATGGTGTTTGTTCCCCTACTGCTCCCTCTGCCCTGTCCTTAAGACTGCTTGTCCCTAGTAGCTCCCTGATAAGATGCAAGCTGGTCTGGTTGTATCTTGAAACCCCACTTTTAATAAGTAGACCTATTATTATTCTGGGACAATCTCTAAAAAAGTTACATTTGAATTTCAAGTGGAGAGTTGGTTGAATATGAATGAATATAATTCCTGGCAGTGAATAAATCTGAATGAGGATCTGAGTATAGTGGTTGTTGATGCTGCCATATGCTCTATACTTGGAAACTTGCTGCATATTATTGCCTTACTGAGAAATCCTCAGAGTGACAAAAATTATGGTTCGATTTGAGGCACAACAATAGAGTTATTTTCTGACCATGCTTAACAGTTGCCATCAACTTCTGCAAGAGTATATGTTCTCTGTTTGTGTTAGTCTGATTATCATCATCGCATTAGTCGACAAAATTGTACAAGTCTACAAGGTTGCAGGCTACCATCTACTATTGCCCGACTATGTTTGTCAGGAGGACATTAATTTTACCATTCTGTAGGTACTGTATTGGTAAATCATGTCTCCCTTCAAGGCTTGCATACAAGATTATGATCTGCATCCACCTGCCCTGAAGGCAGTCCTGTCATGGAAACCATCAGTGTTTCACCCTGTGCACCAGTGGCTCATAATTTACATTGATATTCCTCATCAATGTACTGGGAAACAGTAATGCCACTGGACTGCAGGTGTTACAAGAAGCCTAGAGAAGCTATGAACCAATAGTGCTTTACATTGTTGCACACAGATGGCACCAGAAGCCAGTTTGAGCATTCACTTGCAGTTCTACAGAGGGCTGGATGGACATTGTCAAGGCCATTTTTGTATATACATGATTCTTCTAAATAAATAAAAAAATCACTTGCAGTTTTGCTTACCCGTGTGTTTGCAGTTATGGTGGCCAGAAACAGGAGACTAGATAGGTGTGCTATCTGTAGGTACCCTTATGGTTGAGAATGTGTTGTGGTGGTGCTGCTGCTGCAGAATCCTGTACCTACATAATATGTCTATCACCCAATTCCACTGTGTAAAACTAATGTAACTGTTATACCAAAACATTAAATTTCAGCACCACCAACGCTAAAGCACACAAATTGTCACAACTGTTTTCTTCTGTGTTCTCATACACCATTGAGAAACAGGTGTTAAATAAACTAAGAAAATTTCCTGAACAAATGACAGCAGTATAGTTCACCATTACCACAGAAACATCGCCTCGATGAGTATCATTGTATTTGCATCCCTACTTGAGGAGTGGGATGGATA